ACATTAAATGGACCAGTATCTCCATTGTTGTTAGAATGAAAATAGATCTCCTAGAAGGGCATCACAAAAACTCCTGTGAAGTTAACAGAATAAACTGTTTGTAGGCCATATTCAGATACTGCTGCTTCATATGAGCAAGAGCAAATGTAAACCATGTGGGCAACACTTGAGTCCTTAGAGGTGCCATGAAACAAAGTGATGATAGTGAAATGTTCCCCCTGTTGGCTCAGATTAAAGTTGTGATGAAAAGAGGTAAACATGCAGCAGTGCCTCTAAAGATAATGAGTTGATGTAGTAAACAGTGAAGAGTTTCTGAGACTACAAATACCCAGTTAAAGTTGCTGGGTATCAGAATTTTCTTTCAGTCTTGACCAAAGAATGTGTTCTGGGTCTGGGCAATTAATATGATTGATGAGGAAGTGCAGTTAGTATAAAATCAGAACATGAGGATGGTGTGCAACATAGTGGTGTCCCCAGATCTGTCACAAAGGCAGATGTCAAGACCTGGGAAGCAGCTTAGTCTGGTAAAGAGCTTGAGAGATGACCTGAGAAAGACACCTTCAGAGAGCAAAGAAATGAAGTAACTAGAAGAGTTCCTCTTGTGGTATGGTACTGAGTTCTTAAAGAATAAGTATCTTCAGAGATATGACCCAGGAGATATGATCCAATCTGACCCTGGATTCTGTTTAAACCAGGGAGTAAATATTGAGAGACAGCACCAATCCTGGATTCCCCTGGAATAAGGGAAAAGGGAAGCAAAATGCATGCTGGAAGGTGGAATAATCTGTGAAAACCTGCCCCCAAGGGCGTGTGTAGATGAAACAGGGGCCCTAAATTGAAGTGGTGGATTTTTAAAAACATCACTTCAGTTTAGGGCCAATTAAATCCCCACGTTGTGCACACACCCAACTTACCTGCATCTCTGGCAGTGGGGAGTGGAGGGCAAGCTGCTGCTGGGTGGCACAGCCCTTGGGCACCAGGGGGAGGCTGGTACTTTCCTTGTCGGCAGTGGCAGGCCACCCCCCAGGCGGCACCTGCCTGCAGGCACCCGGCTCGGGTGGTCCCAGGGGGCACCGCAGCCATGGAGGGAAGCACCGGGCCCCCCTGGAGCTCAGGCAGGCAGGCTCCAGGGTTGTGGGGAGGAGAGGGGAAGATCAGGCTTGCTGCTTTTCTTGGGGGGAGCCTGTTTTCCCAGGCTGCTGCCAGGTTTCCTGCAGGGCTTCCTGCATAGCTACAGAGCTGCATGCAGCCCAGTGCTTCACTCCCCAGCTGTAGGGGCAGCAAACTAAAACTACTAGGAGTTTTAGTTTGCTGTGCACCAAGTCATATAAGGCACATTACGCCGCTGACTTTCCTACAATGGCTGAAATTAATGTGCAATGCACCGCTGAGGTGTGCAAACACCAGCAACATTAAAGTGGTGCAAAAGCATTTGGCCCGCTTTGAAGTGTCATGCACACACACCCCTCGTTTCATCTACACATGGCCCAAGATGCTATGCTGTATCTTCACTTTAGGGTTAAATGCTCATCTTTTAAACTATTTTGTTGCTTCTTCTCCAGGCTGGGAGAGGAGGATGTTAAGCTCTGCTTGGATATGCTGGAATTATTTTCTGTTGTGTTGCAATAAATCATTGGATTTCTATAAGCAATTATTCCCATGCGCTGTCTGAATTGTAGTTTCAGGGCAGTTGTTGCCTGTGCTGTTTCGCTGTACAGTACTTAGTAAAACAGGCTTTGATCCCTGTTATCGCTAAACGTAATAGGGAACAATTCATGGGCAGAAATATATTTACACAAAATATTCATGGCTTGAAAGGACCAAAAGAATAAAAGCAGTGCTTCGAGTGATCTCTCCTCAAAGGCAGTTTGGTGAACTGATACATTCAATGGAGAAACTGTTTGCTAGAATAGCTCTCACTGAGCTCTAGTAATAATTGGTATTGGTACTTTGCTCCCAGCAAAATATCTGAATAAAACTGAACTTTAAAATCCATGGAAACTTTTAAAACCATAACGGAAGTTTGTCGATGTCAGAGCTGTTCAAAGCTAGGTGCCTAAAGTCAGATTCTTCAACAGAAGTGGTTTAATTTTCAGAGATGCTGAGCAATCTCTGCAGTCATTAAAGCTGCACTAGTGACTTCTCAGAAGTTAATCACATATGAAAACTCTGAACTTGCAGCTGGCATCCCATGGGAAGGCCTCTACTGACTTCATTTGGACTCCATGTGAGCACAGGAACCTGCCTGCAGAGAGGAAGTTGTGGGATTCTGCTATAGTAGGCACCTCTACACCACACACAGAACAATAGTAGTTTTTTCCAGGTATATAATAAATAGATTGTGAATTTACATTTAAAACAGGCCTTTAAATACAAAAGTATTTTCAGCAGAAATCATGTTATAATCACGATCAAAATTGTAATCTGATGCGTGTTAAAGTACATATGTTTACACACACATTTACTCAAATAGAAGATGACCCTGATTATAATATGACCACCTAATAATCAGATTCTATATATGGAAAAATTTATGCTATACTTTTCCATATACAGTATCTAATTATTGGAGGTTTGCCTTGAATTTATCCCCCTTCCACTCTTTCATAGACTTTCATGGACATTAGGGCTGGAAGGGACCTCGGAAGATCATAGAGTCCAGCCCCCCGCCTGAAGGGCAGGAAGTCAGCTGGGGTCACAGGATCCCAGCAAGATAAGCATCCAATTTGCTCTTGAAGGTGTTCAGTCAGGGCCATCCTGGGGGGAGGGAGGGGACTGAGGCAACTGCCCTGGGCCCCATGTTTTGGGGAGCTCCATTGAGCTGGGCTGGCTTCACATCTGGCTACTCGCCACCCCCTGCTGTGTCTGGGATCCACATAGGCTGATTTACCTCAGGCCCCTCACCCTGCTACAGTCATCTCTGGTCCCACTGCTATAACAGGGAAAGTAAATTTGGGGAAGGGGGTCAGGTGGGCCCCTTTCTCTCTGCCCCCTAAAACTTCTTCTCCCTGCAGCCCTTTTCTAGCTGCTTACTGTCAGACTCTGCTCTCCCTGAGTACATGGAAGCAAATTTAAAAACACTGATTTTGAAATAAACATGCCTGTTGGGTGCTTATAGCCTTAGTTCATCCAGAATTGATGAATTTTACCTTTCTTTGGAAACTGCTGCAAGTTTTAGCAAAGGTACTCCATAAACACACTTTTAAACAACACCTTTGTATCTACTTATAGAAAGTAGAAACTATGCATAATATTAGTTCAAAGCCAAAAGGTTCATAATTTACCATGTAGTTCATTGGGCTAGGCCCCAGCAGAGTCAGCATTTCAAGCCATGGTGAACCCAGCTCAGTACTGCTCAGTATGTGTGTGTCTTCCAGATAACCCCCACAAAGGAGCCATGTACTAATTAGCCCTCCACTCATGACTGGAACTGGGTGTTTTTGTCACAAGTCCTGGGATTTTTCAAAAGTCATATGCAAACAAGGCTCAGGGCAACCTTGTTCAGCTCCACTTCATTGAAGGTGGGGGCCACACTAATCATATGCAACAGGTTGAGAGGGGGGGTGACAAAGGGATTCTGTATAAACGGCTCAGGGCCACGCTTGGTGATGTTTGAAAGACATTCAATGCTGGTAAAAGAACAGGAATAATTGGAAATGGGAAAGAAAGCTCATCTGTGGGAATGAAGAGGAAGTTGAAATGTATTCAGTGTAGTGGCTCACAATGACTTAAAAAAGAGTTGGTGCTCAGGGGGACTGTATGCAGTGGGCATTATCATTATTATTATTATCATTATTCAGATGAGCTGTTCTAACCTAGTCTTGTGGTAGTACATTTGCCCAATATGAGACAAGTATTTTCCAGTCATGTTCAGTGTTGGCTGGCTGCATTTAATCAACTTAATCGTTGCTTTCCATTACTGAGTATATGCTGCTTTTGGCAGCAGTTTAATAATAGACAGTATATTTAATGATTTTTCCTTATATGCAAATTTAAGATGAAGAGATTCCCCTCCCCTCCCCCCCATGCTGACTGGGGGGAAAAACCTTGTCTTACATTTGAGTAAAGATGGTCTATTTGTGTCTGTGAGTATATATCTATATACAGATAGATATATATCTATATGTGTATGTGTGTGTGATAGAGAGAGAGAGAGAGAGAGAGAGAGAGAGAGAGAGAGAGAGAGAGACAGTGTTATCTGTGAGCATGTATAGATGAAACAGGGGCCCTAAATTGAAGCGGTGGGTTTTAAAAAACACCACTTCAATTTAGGGCTGATTAAACCACCATGCCGTGCACACACCATGCTATCTTATCTGCCTCTCTGGTTGTGGGTGGGGGGGTGAACTGCCAGCGGGCAGAGCAATCCCTGGGCTGCAGGATGGGGGGTTGAGGGCTTGTGCTTCCGTCTGTGGCAGCTGTGGCCCCACTCTAGGTGGCACCTGCCCACAGGCACCCAGCTTGGGTGGTCCCAGGGGGCACCACAGCCAAGGAGGAAAGCATCGGGCCACTGCGCAGCTCAGGCAGGCAGGCAGGCTCTGGGTGGGGAGGGAGGATTAGGCTCACGCTTTGGTTGGGCGGAGCTGCTTTCCTGGGTTGCTGTCAGGCTGCCTGCAGGGCTTCCTGCAGAGCCATGGAGCTCCTCAGAGCCTGGTGCGCTTCACTCTATGGCTGTAGGGGCAGCAAACTAAAACTTCTCGTAGGAGTTTTAGTTTGCTGCACCCCAAGTCATTTAAAGCGCATTATGCTGCTGAATTTCATATAGTGGCTGGAATTAATGTGCAATATGGCACTGAGGTGTGCAAACACTGACACCATTAAAGCAGTGCAAAAGCATTTAGCCCACTTTAAAGTGTTGTTCACACATACCTCTCGCTTCATCTACAAATGGCCAATGTGTATGTAGATATATGTGTGTGGGGGTGTGTGTGTGCGCATTTATGTGTACATACACACAAAATTGTCCATGATACATCATTATACCAATGGCTTTAACTTACTCTGTGGAAATCTTGGCTATTGTGTCACATGAACTGTACTCCACACCTGTGAAAATGTCCTTGCAGTGTCCAGCCCGAATACCATTGAGCCAATCACCTGCTGTGCGGAAGGCGGATATATCAAGGTTGCTTTGGTCCAGTAGTAGATTTGATGGCCTGAAATAACAAGACAGCAAAAGCATGAGAACTAGGGTAAGCAAAGATACCTCTCATGTCTACACTTAACATTGGCATCATCAGGGGCTTCCAGATGACATGTGGCTTTCCTGTCCATGTCTGAAATTTGTCTACCACTGGGCACATCTACACATGCAATTAATGTACACAAATAAACGCCAGAGCTTATTGCTTTGGATGTTTTGCTCCAGGGTTCACTGTTTGAATGTGCACCTAGAAGCAAAAAACTCTGGAGTATATTGCTCTGGAGTTGATTTGTGTACAGCACGTTTAGCTCAATAGGAGCAGCTCTACCTGGCAACAGCTCAGGGCTGATCTGACTGGGCTCAATGTGCTGTGGAGCGGCTGGCTCGGGCACAAGGGTGCTTCAGAGTAGGGCTAGCTGGCAGGCATCACTTGCATTGAAGCACCTTCATGCTCTAGCCAGCCAGGCAGCATTTACACGTGTGCTGCTGCACATCAAAAAACTCTAGAGCAGGCTAGTACTTTTAAATTTTGAGCCTTAATAGAACTCACTGGTGACATGTAGGGGGTGCACGTGGGTGCATGTGAACCCCTGAACTTGGTGGTGCACCCCCTGCAAAAAGATGCTGCTGACACTGCCAGCGGCACCTGCAGGTGTTTGCTGCTCACCACTCCCCTTCCTTGCCACCGACACTACCAGTGGCATCTGCGGGTGGTCTGTGATCGCTGCTGGCCACCACCACCAGCGATGTTGGCAGGTGTTCGCTGACCACTGGTCAGTGCTTGCTACCCCATCCCTGCCGCTGCCAATGCCGCAGCCACCTGTGGGAGCTCCCCGCTTGCTGCCACCATGCTCCCACCGCCGATAGTGCTGCCGCCACCTGCAGGAGCTCACTCTGCCCCCCTCAGCCTCTGGGGGCACGCGGCATTCATGATTTTTCCCACTGCTCTCTGCAATTATTTGCGATTTCCCCTCCAAATGCCACCATTTAGAATTATCCCATAAGGCTGCAGCATTCCAATGCTTAGCATCTGTAAGTTAGTGAGTAAATACAAGTACTAGCCTGCTCCAGAATTTATTAGTTTTGTGAGCCCTAATAGGAGCACATGTGTAGATACAGAGACATTTGCTGTGGAACTAATTGAGCAGCTCTGCAGTAAATGTCTTGTGTAGATGCACCCACTGAGGTCTCAGTTGCTCCAGCTGGCAGCTTTAAGAAACTCTGTGTAATCATCTTGTTTATGGGCTCCAAACCACTCGCCTCAAGCCTGTGGTTTAAATCCCTGAAGCATTCCTGATTCATGATAAACATTTTTACAGTATCATTACGTTATTTAAACAATTACATAATTTAACTGAGTCTAACTACTAGATACTGATCATTGCAATGCTGCAGTTTTATGGGATAATTCTAGATGGTGGCATTTGGGGGGAAGCATAGATAACTGCAGAGAACATTGGGAAGAAACTGCAAGTTCCATTAAGGCTCAAAATCAGAAAATGAACTAGTGGAGCTATTACCATACCAATGAAAGGATTTTGCAACATAGAGATACAACCCAGAAATTGCTTTTAAGTTAACACTCATTTTTCTTTCACCTTAGTGCTCACAAATGGTAGGTTGACCAAATCTTCCCTTCCTCCATGAAACAAAGGACAAGAACATCAGCCACGCAGACTTTCTCCCTTTCACTGCACTCCCTAGGTACCTTAGTCCAGCCCTATTGGGACTTTGCTGTAATGATGAGACACTGTGTCAGTCTTCAAACTCTCATTTCTTCCCCTGCTGTACGGTACAAATTGGTCTTTATGAATCAGACTTGAGACCACTAATTTGCTTCATTGTGGTTTATGTTCAAGCAAAGACTGGTAATGACAGGTACTAAAAGTCACTCACACCAAACATGAGTAAAATCATTAGTGAGCAAAAGGTTCTGTATTACATAAGCAAACCACTGAACTATGATGAGCAGGAATTAGAGTAAAGGAGAGAATAGCATCCTCTCCAGCATGCATCTAATACAATTGGTAATTCAGAAAGGCAGCCTGTTTTAATAGGATATGCAACAAATGTAACTGTTAGTGTGTGATCTAACTGGATCCCGAGCTGATTTTTTCAATGACTTTAATGAGTCAAACAAAAATAACAACAACAAACTGGGGCATGATCTGTAATGAATATGTTTTCTTTTTTCTCTACAAAACTAACCCTGCATTGTACTCTGCCTCCCTCCCTTCTCCTCCAACTGTCTTGGGCTGAATGAAAGCTTTTATTTTATTCAAAAAAACCAAACACTACGCTTCAGTTTTGAGGGGTCTTATTTTTTTAAAAACCTGAATTAATTTAAGCAAATTTGGTCTTGAAAAGATTCTTTTTAAAATGGAAGATTGAAATGTTTTGTTTTGAAATACTGAAGTAAAACATATTTTTCCATATTTTCAACACAAACTAATTACCAGATTCAACCTGAGATTGTGAATGCTTTCATTTGATCTGAAACTACACGTTTTAGTGAGCCAAACGATTTCACACAGTGTTCTTGTTCTTCCTCACCTTACACTTCATAAAGATGGAAAGAGCTTGTTTATATTTTGCTTGGTTTATTTTAACCACATTTCAATCTGTGTAGCTCCTAACAGGAGGCTGTGACTGGGTGAACTACAATTAGGAAGTAAATGTGCTTTTGAAAATAACATTTAGCCCCGAAGTGTGTTTTCCGCATCAAGGAGGAGAATTGGATGACTCTTCTAGCCGCATCTGCCAGTGTTGCATGGTGGCTAACGTTTCTGCTCCCATGCTGATCCGGCAGTTCAGATATACTTTGTGATGGGGTTCCTACTTTGCTAATACACTGTAATGTCTTACTTCAGTACATAGATGTGGAGAGATGGCCAATAGTTCTAGCAGTTTCTTCTCAACATTGCTAAAAGGCCTCTGAACAGCCATGGAGTCACAATTTTCCTTCTTGTTGCAAGATATCTTAGCGTATGGGTGGCCAACATGTGGCATGGGTGCCGTAAGTGGCATGAACAGTGTCTGTGTGGCAGGCAGCAGGTTGGGGAAGGGACGGGCAGCACAGTGGCAGATCAGAGCAGGGAGTAGAAAGCAGAGCAGCAGATTGGGTAAGAGAAAGAGTTGGCAGTGGCACTTGGGAGGATGTGGTGCTAATTTGTGGCACACTTGCCAAAAAGTTTGGCCCCCACCATTTTAACCCATGATAATTATCTTGATTTCTCAATGTTCAATAACAGCTTCCTTCCCAAATTGGTTACCTTGAGAGAATGTGAATTACTATGCTTTGTTTTTAATTTGACAGCCACACAGCTAATGCTGATGGACAGCTTTATGGTACTAATTCAACAAAGCACATGTTTAACTTCAAGCACATGAGTAGCCTCAAAGTGCAACTATGTCCTTTAAGTGAACTATGTGCTCAAGTGATTTTTCAAAGCATTATGGTGCAACTGACTGGAGAACAGGGGACACATGTAACCTGATCTCAGTTTTAGAAGTCACCAGAGAGCCTGTCTCAGAGAATGTAGCACTGAAAAGCCTAGTTTTAAAGAGTGGTGTGATGTAATAAACTGTTGCTTACAAAAGCTTATGCCTCTCCAAGTTAATCAATAATAGAGGTGCTCAACCTTTTGCCCCTGTGGGTTGGATGAGTAGCACAGGCCTGGAACCTGCATGCGGTTAGCGCATCAGGTGCCATGTGCCCGTATTTGTCACTGCACCACCTGAATCCAGCCCCACACCACTTGGATCAGATCTCGTATGCCCCATTTAGCATGCAGAACCATACTATCCACCCACTGGACTCTCCATGAGTCCGTAAATTTGGCAGCTGGGGAGCAGCAATTAAGACTGCCACTGCTCCCCCACCACCAAATTTTCAGACTCATGGTGGGCCCTGTGGACTGGATGACATGGTTCAACAGGCTAGGACCAGGCTTCGGGCCAAGTGGTTGAGTACCCCTGATCTATAAGGTGTCACTCTGCCCCGCCTTCAGTTCCGTTGTTGTAAGAGATTGTTACTAACGTTTTCAGTTGTGGTGTGACAATTTACACAATCAGTGAAGACCACTAGCTATTTACATGCATGCACAACTGAACATTAATCTAGGAATGTCTAAGCAACCAAGGACAAACTAATCCATCCAAACCGAAAGTGCTACTTGTTCTTTGCTGCAGGTTCCACCACACTGCCAATGTTAACAGAAAACAATTATTTCTAGTGAATAACATTGCAGATTTGCTTTTCTTGCTGCCTATAAATTCCCATTAGGGTGGCCAGCTGCCTCCTTTGTGTATCTTTAAATCTTGTGCAGCTCGCCAGGGGGAGCCAGCTGCAGCACCACAACCACATGTTGCGCCTGCCATCAGAATGCTCAGACCCGCTACATGCTGTAGAGGGATTTGCTTCACCCATTCCAAGTCCACTGAAGACAGGAACAGGATGGGCCAGACAGGCCACACCATCTGCATTCACGTGGCTAGCTCTATCAAAGCTGCTGGAGCTTTGCTCTGGCTTCAGTCCCTACTTTTGGTAGATTTCACTTTCCCATTCCCCCATCATATCTCCCCTGCATAGAAAAGCTTAATTAATCTGCTCCATGCAGGTGAAGTGATCCAATTTAAAGATAATGATTATGCAGTACTTGTTACATAGATTTTTTTTTATTATGGGATAAATTATCTGGATGGAAATGAATCACTACCATCACCCTCTAGCATTCTTCAGACAAAACCTGAAGAAAGTCCAAAGACTAGAACAAGTTTTAAAGAAAACTTTGTAAAGATTTCCAGGGGAACCCAGTGTTCAAATTCCATGGAATATCACTGATACAGGTTTTAGCCATGTTGGTCTACAGGCAAAAAATATGCAGAATTCTTGGTAGAGGCGATATATTTTATTAGATCAACTAAATAGTTGCAAATAAAGATTTTTTTTACAACTATTTAGTTGGTCTAATAAAATACCAAGAGTTTTGGTATTTGGTCTAATAAAATACC